ACATATTGCCATAGATGTCTGTTCAACAAAATACTTGACACCACTTAGATGTTGTGGTGTATGTGGGTAGTCTCTTCCATCTTGTCTCTCACCTGTATCCCTTGCCTACAACAGAGCCTCTGCAGAGCTTTACAAGGATGCTGATGGCACTGTCAACAAGACCCTTCTCAGTACTGAGTAAGACTGTGGTCCTTGGAGCCCTAGAAGGAGCAGAATGAGAGGTGAACAGGCTGATGGCTAGCAAGGGTAGACCCCACTGGATACTGTACCAATTATAGAACCTCTATCTTCCTGAATCTCAGTACTGCCTTGTGCTATGCCATACTGGCCTAACATTTAGCTCCAGTGACTGTGTCACTTTTCAGTTCAGTGTTCTGTTCACCAGCTCAGAAAATTGTTTTTCCAGGAATTCAAGCTGTTTCAATTCTAAGTTCTTGGTGACTGCACAAAGATCAATACATTTGGCTGTACCATATTTAATATTTTACTTTTCTTAATCTGAGAATCCATCCCTGAACATGTTCCCCAAAGATTTCACCAATTTTTGAGCCCCATAAACATTACCAGATCCACGGTGTCATTTCATTAAGTTGATTCCCAAGTTTTGCTGTAACAGAGAAAGGATGTGTGGAGATGGGGCTGGGGATGGGCATTGAGAAGAGCGGGGTCAGCCTGAGAACAACAAACGCCAAGAGGCAGTTAAGGAAAGGCATTAATCCCAGGGAAGGCATTAGTCCCAGGGAAGTCTCATTCCCTCAGATAATGGGATGAAATTATCTGCTTTTGAAGAGAGACTTAGCAGGATTTAAAGTTCAAAATTCTCCCACTTCCCCTTCTCTACCCAAGTGTCCCACCCCATGTTCAGGACCTCACACTTATTCAGAAGTAACACTCATCCTCCCACTCAGAAGACTTCATACTTTGGAACATTCTGGAGTGTGAGCTTTCCAATTAAAGATGTTCAATTTGTGCATTCCATGTTAAGCATGTATTTGGGCTGCTATGCCAAGAATTGCTCCATAGCACTGTTTTTTTCACTGTGCATTCTCAAAGACCACAGGAGAAGGGGAGCATTGTGGTTGCCTGCTTGATTGTTCAGTGGTGAGCCATAGGATCACATTTTCAGCAGAACCAACTCCCCTCATGATATTTATAACCTGCATGACACACTGTTGTCACAGTTAGTTGATCTCTTAATGCCTACTGCTAGTGCTTCCTATTATTACGCCACTAATGATGACTTAAGAAAACTTGATGTCACTGGATTAGGCAAACTGTGTCCTATTCCTCCTTGCTGTGGGTTTCACAGTCTACTCCTTAAACATGTCAACAATCTAACTTAATTTAAGGGTTTATTTCCTTCAACTCCTCATAGGAGCCTTGTCAGTCATGAACCTGACAGGTACCCTATGACTGCCTAGGTCATTCAGACAAGTGGGGTTAAGAAAACTGAGTATTACAAAGTAATGTGTGTGCTGCAGTGAATTCACAAGAACTACATGATAATCCCAGGACTAATAACATCCGGGTGCTGTAGCAGCTCTTCTCTGAAGGTACAAAAGGTAGGAGCGGCTACGGGTGCTGGAGGCAGCAATCTGAAAGAAGCCAAGCTGGTAGGAGCCACAGGCTATGTGCAGAGATGCAGGGGACCATCCTCACTCTCCTCCTGGATACTGATAAACAAATACAGATAAACTCAGAAAAGAGAGGACAAAGGGGCCCACTGATGTGAAAACAGCTGAGAATTCCACCGCAAACAGGAGGTTTGAATGAAGGCTGTAGAATGGGTTTGGAGATGAAATGATAGCCAACATGTCACAGAAATATCAGTGTGGCAGGATCTATGTGTGTCAATAGGCAGACGTGTACATGCGAACACTGTGGGCATACGTAATACTTCTGAATACATTCTTTAGTTCAACTTCTACACAAGAGAAAATGAGCATGTAATTTATGGTTGATTCTACTTTTCACTAGGGAAATACAGTCTACAAACTCCCTTCTCCATCTTACTGAGCTGCACCTGATTTGTCAACACGCGGTTTTGTTTAATTGTCCTGTTAGCGCTTCCGAAAACTGTGAAATCCCAAAGGGCTCCAGCAATCTGTAACCCTGGGAATCCGGAAACTAGCATAAAACATTCTGGGTCAGGCAGGCTGCAATTCATGGAGAAGATGTTCTTGTTGGAAATGTTAGGTAAGTTGCATAATTCAGATGCTAAAGATTGACATTTTATTTGCTCTTCACAATCAGTGTCATAGACTTTTAAAACTAATATGTGATAAATGCTAAATTTTGGAAGGGTCTTTTTGGAAACATCTTCATCACGTTCCTATTTTAATTCATGAAAATACTAGCAGTTCACACACAGGAGAATTTCCTGAGATCCAAGACAAAAAAAAGAAATTAGTAAAGACAAAATCACAAGGAGAAAATAGTCCACTTTTGGGAAGAAACAAGCAACAACCAGGAGCCACTAACCAAAGTAAAACCCTTTGTTAATATCTCAAGTGTAATTGTGGGAGGAAAATGAAAATGCAGATATTATTAGTAAAAGGGACAACAGAGATCAAAAAAAGGGTAAAATTCCTTCAAGTTACCACTCTTTAAGAACATATGGAGGCATAGGGAATTTCTTAGAAGCCCTCTGAAAATGAAGCTTACTTCTAAAGGCAAACGAGCACTGTAACACTTTTCATGGAAAATTCCTTTTTAGCTCATACATGTTAGGAAGGTGAGCATGGTGACTACTTAACAAAAATCACCTCATTTCTTGTTCTAACTAACAAATACAGAACTCAGTGTCTCTCCCAGTATCAGGAGGATGGGGGGTTAGGGCAGACACAAGCAAATGCACACTCTGTGTCATTGTATGTGTGGTCCAGGCTGAGATACAAACATTTTTCAGGGTGAAAAGTTCTACAGTTTATGAGAATCTCAAAAGGACTGCAACACAATACAGTTAATCACCTTGCTAAAGTGATACACCTATGCAAAATTCTTGAATGGAGGCAACAGAGAGTCAAAGACTGTGAGCTCCACGGCAGGGCTGTGCAGAGGTCATCCTGCCTGGGAAAAGAGAAGCTGCTGATGAAATAATGAAAGAGTGTCCTGGCGCCGATGGGCTGCCCTTGCACAGAAATTACATTAAAAGGCCACACCATTGCTATACTGCTGTGTAACGTCAGTAGGTACACAGGACAGATCCTTTATATGACACTGGACTGAGTGTGTTAACGATAATGCCTCCTTTAAATTTTGCTACAATTCCATTAGCAAGTTACTGTTATTTCATTAAGTAGATAAAAAAAATGCAATCAGAGGAACTGAACTAAGTGCACAAAGGTCGAAACTCTAGAAATTGTCAACATCAGGCCTGAAGCTTATATCGGTTTGTAGCTCATCTTTTCAAATGGATAATGTTGCACTTTTACACGTGTTAATTCCTTGACTCTTTTATAATGTTTTACTCCTGTCAGAATTAATACCAATAATAGTAGAACGAACAGTCATGTCCGCATTTCTCACTGTGACCTATAGACAAGGCTGACAAGGACATATGTTATTTTCATGAAAACAGGTTCTTGGGAATCACCTACAACCTGCTAAACTAGAAACACAGCTCAACCTATTTTATGTACAAAAACATTGAGAGTCATTTATTACCCCTCTGTTGTTAACAAGCCAGGCATGGTGTTTAGTGTTCACTAAGTTGACTCTTTTTCAAAAATATAAATAATTATTCTCATATATCCAAAACAGTGGAACTTTCACATTCTTGACTAGTTAACTGCCTAAAAGACAAAAGTTTTTTCCACTTTCCCTGGACCAACCAAGCAGCTCTGATTTTTAAGTCATGCTCTCTGTCGAAATCCATCCTGGTATAATGGTAGTCTGTTGCACTCCTAGAAAACACTGTTTTACAGTTCATATTTCATATGGGAAAAACAAATATTTGGTGATGCTATTTGTGTACTTGTTTCTCCTTTTCATTTTATTGCTTTTTTCCTATAGGACTCTGCAAAGAATGATAACAATCTGGGCTTACTAGTGCCAGGAAATGCAGGTAGGCCATTGAACAAAATTCTATGGTACTTTTGGGGAAAAATGACACGATTTGAATGCAATTGGAATGTCAGTCCTACTAGCTGTTTTCCCTTCTCTAGGTTCTCACATGGTCCCTCATCAGGGTTAACTGTGTGTCTGTTTTTGCTGTGAACTTTTCTACACATTGGGGATATAAGATGCAAAATACAAACAAAAATTGGTAACCATGGAGTTTACATCTTAGTAAGCTCCTGTCTCTGACACAAAAGACCTACTGGAAAAAGTAAATGGAGGTATTATCACCTCAGGTAAGTTGACCGCTTAGAAGTATTCTAAAAACATTTTTAGATTCTAAAAACATTTTCTATTTTTGCACATAATTTCTACATTTTACATCCATATTCACAGAGAGAAGAGGAGAGCTTTGGACTTGAGCAACCTATCCCATGGTAACAGCCTTGCAGAATATCACTGTGACTATGGTTGGATATTTAAATTGTCACAGAAGTCAGGATATCACTGAATGTACAATATACGGCAGACAAGGAGGATAATACTTTAGAACCATAGGACAGTCCAAAACAAGGTAAAAATATTCCTCAAAGTACATCAAGACTTAAAAGCTGTTTGTGTTCTAAAAGAAATCTTTAAATGAGTAGAAGAGGAACACATGTTACAAACACAAACAAAAAAATCCAAGAGTCTGAAATATGATTTGTGGCTGACACATTTCTTGAAAGAAAGTGAGACAAACCTCCCAAAGGCATTATCATTTCCTGTTACTAAATGATGGCATAGTAATGGACATATTGAAGAATAGGAAAGTCTCGCACATCAGCCACAGCAGCAGGATTTTCCTTTAGCCTTAACAGTATCTCAGGGGCTAACACAGCACATGTCCTCATGATCCTGGATAAACACTCAAACTCTTGTCTACTGCATCCCTGAGAGCCATGGAGAGGGGCAACCACACTGTGACCGAATTCATCCTGCTGGGCTTCACAACAGACCCCACGATGCAGCTGGTCCTGTTTCTCCTGTTCCTGGGAGTGTACTCACTGACCTTGCTAGGAAACACCACCCTCATCATACTGATCTGTAATGATGCCCGGCTCCACACGCCCATGTATTTTTTCATTGGAAATCTGTCTTTTCTGGACCTTTGGTATTCTTCAGTCTACACCCCGAAGATCCTAGTGACCTGCATCTCTGAGGACAAAAGCATCTCCTTTGCAGGCTGTGTGGCCCAGTTCTTCTTCTCCGCTGGACTGGCCTACACTGAGTGCTACCTGCTGGCCGCCATGGCCTACGACCGCTATGTGGCCATCTCCAACCCCCTGCTCTATGCTCAGGCCATGTCAAGGAGATTATGCATCTGTCTGGTTGTGTACTCCTATACTGGGGGTTTTGTCAACGCAATAATCTTAACCAGTAACACATTCACTCTGGACTTTTGCAGTGACAATGTCATTGATGATTTTTTCTGTGATGTCCCACCCCTGGTGAAGTTGGCATGTGATGTGACAGACAGCTACCAGTCTGTGCTCTACTTCCTACTGACCTCCAACGTCATCACCCCCACCCTGCTCATCCTGGCCTCCTACCTCTTCATCATCGCCGCCATCTTGAGGATTCGCTCCACCCAGGGCCGCCTCAAGGCCTTCTCCACATGCTCCTCCCACCTCGTCTCTGTCACCCTGTACTATGGCTCTATCCTCTACATCTACTCTCGCCCCAGTTCCAGCTACTCCCTTGAGCGGGATAAGCTTGTTTCCACCTTTTATACTGTGCTTTTCCCCATGTTGAACCCCATGATTTACAGTCTGAGGAATAAAGATGTGAAAGAAGCTCTGAAAAAACTCTTTCATTTATCACAGGCTGGTGTCTGATTCACAAGGGACTTCCTCCCATCATTGCGAAGTGATAACACACTCCTTCAAAGAAGGCTGAGGAAGTGTATTGTTAAAAAAATTAATTTCTATTAAATGAAATTCAAACAAAATATATCCTTTTGTTAGCCTCTTTACTTTTGTTTCACTGATTGAACTACCATCTCTGCTATACACATGTCATTTTAATTTTAATAATCTTTAATAAGCAGTGTCTAGGTTTAATATAAATAGAGAAATATGTAGTATTTCTGGCATTCCTAAGAGTTAAGATTTATGTTCTTCTCTCTCTTCTAATGTTGACCCTTTTTTTTTTCCTCCTACTATGATGTGATTGGGTAATATTACTATGGATCAGTGTCATGTGGAAATACACAACTGCTACGCAGGTCCTGGCAGCATCCTTCCACCAAAGAAAAAGAAGGCTGTCCACGTATTGTTGGTGGCAATAAAGAGAACACTTAAGTACAATAAAATATATATGGGAAAAGATTGAGGAAAAATTTCAGTGTCTACAGTTGTACTATTTCTCTCAACGAAATTAGTTAGCACACATATTGCAAGACTATACAGATGGAGGTGTCTCCAGGGAAACAGGACACTGATAAGATGCAGCTTGTGGTGGCTCTGTGGACTTTTCATTCCAGAACTGATGGCCTGGCTTGTTGTGCAGGCAGAGGACTGGACACTAAAGACCAACTAGTGATAGCACTGATTATAACTATGAAATAGTACTCAGATAAGCCACAGGGTATTTTGCTTATACAACTGTGACCATTTGCATGAAAGAGCACTTGGATAAACCCAACTGTAGCTTCATAGAAGTTCCTCATCTCTCATCCTTTAGGACTGAGGTGGCTGTGGTCATAGCCAGGGCCTGTTTCCAAGGACTGCAAGGAAGCAAGAGCAGTTAAACAATAGACACTGACAAAGACTCTGTGCTTAGCTGAAAGAACTGATGCGGGGAAGAACTGAGGCCCTAACGTATGGGCAAGGACACTGGACAGACTAAGGACTAACAACAAAAGCCTTTGTCCGCACGCCAGTCCCTCATTCCTGCCCACCCCATGCCCCAGGGAGCCTGCAGTCTCCCTGGACACAGGTCTTCTAAGTACAGCACTGGGGAGCTTGTGTCCCTTTCCTCCACCTTGCCTAAAGATGGGAAGTTAAATACCACTACATAAGATGAAGAAATCAAAGACAAATATGCGCTAACTATAAACAAGAAGGTAGAAAAAATTTAACTAACTAAAAATGAAAACATAACACTAAGGAGTTACAGGATCTCACCAGTATGTATTGGCAGCAATCTGCAAAGCATGTATGGACTGGGCTTTAAGGGCAGTAAACTGAGGAGAACGAAAAGTTAAGGATGAATCAGACCACACTGATTAACACAGGTGCAACCACATAGGATTCAGAAATTTTTCCCTTTCCATAATAACCTGAGAGGATTTTAACGGTTGAGTTTTCTAGATTGTGTTTTTAGTTCTAATCAGTAAAGACAACTGGTCTACACTAATTTGCTTTCCCAAGACACATCAGAGTCCTGAGTCATCATTGTTTTTTCCTCATTCCAATTCTCTGAAGAGCTCCTAATTTTTCCAGGACAGCTTAGAAAACACAGTTCCTCATATCTATTATGTTTTCTCATATTAATAAAATATGGACCCTCTGTATTTGAATTTCTGCTTATTCATACATACTAGGTAAGCCTCACTATCTTATTTTAAACCCAATGATGTAGTAAAGACAGCTGCACATGCTGCAGCAAAAGGAAGTGTCTGAAGGCTGTGGAATGGATTTGGACACTGTCATGACTGCTGACATGTCATAGAAGTATCAGTGTGGCAGGTCTTGTGTGCCTCAATATGCAGATATACACAGGTGATCAGTATGGGCATGCATAATATTTCTGTATACATCCTTTAGTTTAGCTTCTACACAAAAGAGAATAAAAATGTAATTTACACTTGATTACTTTTTTCACCAGGGAAATATGGTCTCCAAATTCTCTGCTGTATCTTATTGAACAGCACCTGATTTATCAACATACAGTTTTTTTTAGTTGTCCCGTCAGTCCAGCCACAAACTGTGAAATCCCAAGGGGCTTCAGCAATCTGTAACCCTAGGAATCCCAAAACAGACATAAAAGGTTCTGGACCCAGCAGGTGTGAATTCGTGGAGAAGATGTTCTTGTTGGAAATATTAGGTAAATTGCTTAATTCAGATGCTAAAACTTGAACATTTATTTGGTCTTCACAATCAGTCTCATAGCCTTGTACCTAGTAATGTGATAATGCTAATAAAGGGTCCTTTTTGAAACACCTTTATCATCTTCCTATTTTAATTTCTGAAAATACTAGGAGTTCACATGCAAGACCATTTCACACTATCAGTGGCAAAAAGAAAAACTTAGCAAAGATAATATCACAAGGAGAAAATAGTCTACACTTTTGAACGAAAAAGCAGCAACCAGGACCCACTAACAAAATCACACTTTATTAATATCTCAACTATAATTGAGGCATAAGAATGAAAAAGCAGATATTGGTATAATAGTATAAAGGACAAAAGATAGCAAGAAAAATGTAAATTCCCTTCAGTTTGCCGTTCTTTAAGAAAGTGTGGAGGCATGGGTTTTTTGGGTTTTTTTAGAAGACCTCTGACAGTGAAGCTTATTTCTAAAAAGAGAAAGGAGTCTCAACATGTTAATGAAAATTTCCTTTTTAACCTGTAAATGTTAGGAAACTGAGCATGTTGACTGGTTAACCATATCCCAACAGATATCTTGATTTTATTGTTCTGATTAACAAATACAGTTCAGGGTTTTTCCCAGTGTACATAGTAAGTATCAGGGCAAACACCAAGGAGGTGCACCCTTTCTCTTTCTCTCTCTCTGTGTGTGTGTGTGTGTGTGTGTGTGTGTGTGTGTGTGTGGTCCAGAGCAGATTACAAGCCTTTATTTAAGGTAGAAAAGTGATGTCATTTTTGTAAGAATCTCAAAGGGACTGGACAGCAGTAAAAGTCAATTATCTAGATAAAATAGACCTAAGAGGGGAAAGCATGCATGAGGCTTGACACATCAAAAGGGTGGAGAATCACTCTGGATTCCACGGCTTTGGAGCCAGCTCATTATGGAGTGAAATCTCTACAAACCGTGAGCTCAATAAACCTTTCCTTCAATTCTGCACACCATGTATTTTTGTCTCAGCGAGACAGAAACATAACCAAGACACATGTGCATGCATGTATCACTGTGATATGACATCTCTAACTCTTTTGGGAAGATCCCTAGAAGAGGAATAGCTGGAGCAAATGCAATTTGTAGGTTCAGATTTTTGGAGTCTCCATACTAGTTTCCAAAGGGATTGTACTAAGTTTCCTTCCCTCCAATAGAGTAAGAGAGTTTCCCCTTAGCCCCACAAGCACTGGTTGTTATTTGATGGATCATAAAAGCTAGATCCCTTTCCAACCCAGTTTGCAGTAAGGTTCAAGGTCCTTTGAGACCCCAGTTCCTGCTGAGAGAGTAAGTGTGCCAAGGAGGTCGTGATGGGGGAGGGGATGTTGGTAGATGAATGAACAAGCTCATGGGATCGACGATCAAAACTCAAATTGCATCCATTTCAAATGTTCTAGACAAAAAGGCAAGGTCATTGCCTTATTACTTTATTACATCAGTATTTACACAGGACAGATATTCTCATAGGATACTGTACTGTGCACTTTATATACAGCGTACTCTAAGCTCCACTCTAAGCTTGTGGACAAGAAATTGTCCACAAAAGACTGAAACACACATCTCTTTATAGCTCATCCTTTGAAATTTACAATATTATGAAGCACTTTTACATGTGATAACTCCTGCATCTTTACTACATTACCATGAGGATAAGGCTCCCCTATCAAAGAATAATAGCAATAAAGTAATGATAGAACTGGTATCATTTCAACATTTCTCTTGTGATCTAGGAATAAGCATGAATTGCAAGCACAAAAACAGATTTCTTAGAGATTACATACAACCTGCTAAGTGAGAAATAATGGTCCTCTGATATTGTGCACAAAAAAAAAATGAGAACCACTTGTTAGTCAAGTGTTAAGAACATGCCAGGCACTGTGCTTAATCTTTAGTAGAATTTACTCCTTCACTACAGCTCAAATAAAATATAAATCATCCTCATCTCACACAGGAGGAAATAGAGGTTTTACACTGTTGACTAGTGGTGACCTTAAATCCTTCTTAACAGCCTAAAAATCAAATGTTTTTTCAGCTTTCGCTGCACTGTGCAGGCAGCTCTGATTTGTACTATGGCCTGTACCGACCCATCAGGACACAGTGACCATCTTTTGAAGACAGGGGAAATGCTTTCTTGCACACATATTTCATTTAGATAAACAAATAGTGTGTGGAGTTGATTATTTTGTGGACCAGTTTCTTCTTTTTTTTTTTTTCCTATAGGACTCTGCAACAGATACAAACAACCTAGGCATCGTAGTGCCAGGAACAGCATGTAAGCTCACCAAATCAAATTCTATCACAGTTTTGAAGTAAAATGACACCATTTGAAGTAAAATGACATCAGAACATCAATCCATCAAACCATTTCTCACCTGAGTAAGGTTCTCATCCACCCACCGATCAGTAAGCACTAACTGGGTGTCCATTCTCTGCCATGCACTACTGTACACAATGGGAATATAAAATGCCAAAAAATGAGCAAAAGGCATTACTCTTGGAGTTTATATCCTAATAAGCTCTCTTCTTTCTTTGACCCCAAAACCATTAGAAAAAGTAAATGGAGCATATATCACTACATACAACTTGACAACTGAGTGATATTCTAATATTATTTTCTGTCTTTTCACATCATTCCTAGAAGAATCTGTAAATATTCACAAATAAATGTAAAGCTTCGGAATAGAATATCTTATCACATGATAACAGCCTTGTAGATCATCTTTTGACTGCATATTCAGGTATTTACTTGTCACAAATT